GGGTGGCCACAGGCTTGCGAGCAGAGAACAGCGGCTGGTCCTCACGGTCACTCTCCCCTGGGGCAGGCGCCCTCTGTCTCGAGCCACACGGCCCATCCCTGTGCAGGAGGCTCTGTCCCCCTACGATCCAGAGGGGTCAGTGTGACCCAGTACCTGGCTCCCTCTCTGTGGAATGAGAAAGATCCGTGGGTCTCTGCAGTCTCAGCATAGCCTGCAACTTCCAGGGCAGGCCCCGAGAGCGCTTCAGCCAGTACACACACGGCATCAAGAACACTGAATACGGGGCCTGTGGCTGGGGTGGCTGGGGTGGCTGGGTCTCACACGGCTACCTGTGGCTCAGACACGGGAAGGAAATGAACAGGTCTTTTTTATGCCCTTTCTGTATGTCAGAGTAGGTATTTTAAACTGCAGTAATATGAACAGGCATTAGAATCACAAGTCCCTTTTTCTATTGTGTCTGAGAAACACGAGAAGCAAAATTTGGAAATGCTGTCACTGTCCGGGAGGGCCGAGGCCCATCAAGTCAGGGGAGTGTGGTCCCTGGGCTCTCAGGGAGGTCCCTTTAGGTAGAGGCCTAGCACCACAGCTCCGGCCTCAAACGACCAGGCAGGCCTGGCAGGCCCGTTGGCCTAAGTTCCTCGGTAATCACACAGTGCGGGTCGTCCTGTCCACTGGTCACGGCCAGCCTGCAAAGCCAGCAGTACAGCCATCGGGGAGGGACACACCTGAGAGTTAGGGCCAGCCAGTCCAGAGCAGTCAGCCTGCGAAGCCGGCTCTTCTGGCTGTCCCAGGGAACCGCGGGGGCTGGGTGGTGGCACATGGCCAAAGTGCGACACGGAGAGGGCGCTCCCATGGGAAGGCTCCGGGTTCTCGTCCAGAGACCTCCCCAGAATGCAGGCACACGCTGACACCTGGGTAGGCCGTTGTGTGGAGGCTTTGTGGGGTGTTGTCTCTCTTTCTGTCTCTCTCTGCCTGTCTTTGTCTGTCTTTCTCTTGCTCATGGAAGAAAAAAAACTTCAAAAAGCAAGACATCCTTCTAATATTCGCCCTTGGGAGAGGAGCCGTTCTCCTAAGAAGCAGACATCCACTGCCAGCACAGTGGGGTAAAAATGCACAGCCTCTTCTGAAGATGGTCACGAAAGAACAAGAAGAACAGAGAGCCATAAACCAGCCGTCAACAAGACCTGGAGCGAGCTGGGGCTGCAGCACAGGGAGCCAAGTGGGCCCCGAGGGTGTGCAGAGAGAAGTCATGGCACCAAGAGAGCCCTCGCATCACCTGGAAAGGGGCAGGGGCCTGAAGAACCATGTGCTGAGGATGCCAAGAGTACGGAGACACGGTGGGTATGAAGAAGTGGGAACAGGGCCAGTCAGGCTGCTGTCCCTCCCCACCCCGGGGGCAAG